ATACCCAGTTCATTGTTACTGACTGCCAGTGATCATGATTCTAGGAATACTTATCACAGAAACATTGAAACTGAATTGGGAGAAGTAGAATAATGGAGAAGAAAGTAAAAATTTCTCCCTATTTCATCTTCTGAAGAAATCTTACATTGTGTTTCTGGCTGAGCCTCTTGTTTTTCCTGCTCCCTAGGTAACCAAATGATTTCTATTTGACTTAATGAACTCTGTTATAAAACAAGTCATTCAATGGATTTGCTAAATGGAGTTCTTTGGGTTATAAGAGCCTGGCTAGGCATCCATGCATTAAGAATATTGTTATGGCCAAAACCTGGCTCACCTAAGCCAACCAAATCACTCTGAAGATACTTTCTTTGAGATATGGTCAGTGAATAGAAACAATTTGGCTTACTGGGATTCTGACTGACTGATTCGTCTCCCACTCGGGGTCAATCCAGTTTGCTGTGACTATTTTCTTTCAAGGGCACTTTAAGCAGTTCATATGTATGGAGGGGGGCATCTTAATTCTCATTGCTATGGGGCTGGCTAGCAAATAACTAATGGTGGGAAACAGTGATGGTGGGAAAATAGTTTAAGATCTCTGATTGACTGATGAATAGCCAATGGCATACATTCCCCTTCCTCCTTAGTAAAATACAGGCACCTTCCCCAGGGATCTGCCAATGACTGATGAAAGCTGGCCACGGGCTGGGTCTGAGGTTGGGATTTTCCTGGCATTCAAGTGCCCATGGCAACTACAAATGAGGAATGGACCAGGAATGGCTAGCATTTGTATAAGTATGGTGTGGGTCCCACAACATATTTTTGTCCTATTTCTTGAATGCCTGCAAAACTGTAGAGACTCCGCATGCATCTTACATGCGTACAGTTTTCTTTAGAATAACAAGAAAGAAAGCCATATTGACTTTACTGTCCTTGCACCAAATGAGACCAGGAAAGGCAGTTAGCAAGGTGTTTTCAGTTACAATCCAGAAGTCAGAGAACAGCATTTGCAAGCCTGGTGTCCTCTAGTTGTATTAATCCACCATAATGGATGTGGTCATGGAATTAAATTAGACACATCTTGTGGATCTCAAGTTGTAGAAAGCTGGTGTTGAATTATATTGGAAGGGAGCCCCATTAGAACTGATATCATGGATGCTATGGAAACCTTACAAACATTATATAAGTATCATCAAATTTCCCCCTGGGAAAATGTCTCGGCCATTAAACTGAAGAAACTCCAACTTGGTATCCCTCTTTACTGGCTCTCAAAAACCCGATATTCTTGTTATTGCTGCTGTTCCTGCTGTTGTTATTTTAGAGCATTTTTGAAGTGGGTTTCTGCTGGAGCTTATGTCTTTTATTCTTTGCCTGTACTTATGGGTAAGGAAAGATTATCACTTTCTTAGGCCAAAAGCGAAATCAGTTTAAGCAGTTTAAAAAGGTAAATAGAAATACGGTATGCAAACAGGCCACAGAAAACCAATAAAATGCAGTTGTCTTGCAGCACTTCCATTTGCATTAGAAAAAGCATTGAATTAAAATGTATTATGTGTCTTTCCTTTAGAATTCATGAAATATTTTAAGGTACAGAAACGCATGAGCTGAATACTGTTACTAAATTGAAGCAGAACACTTTTTACTACGGCACTTCAATTTTTTTGAAGAATGGTGTCATTCCAAAGGTTACAATGTGTATCACTTTCTGTAAACATAGTGTTTAATGTAGACAGTTTTTCTTATAGCAATGTGGCACATAGTTCATTTTTCATCTTTTTTAGCCATGAGAATGAGCTTTTTCCTAAGCAGTTTTCTACCATTACTTGAAAAAAAGCCACAGTATTACGTTTGGGAAAGCCAAGTTAATTATATTTCTGATGATAACTTGATTTAGATCCTGATGGCTTAAAATGCTCTTTATCCAAACAATGTTGCTTCATATAAGCATGGAAGTGCTTTATTTCCCCAGCTAGTTTGAGATGAACTTAGATAGCATAGCCTTTAACGTGAAAACAAAGTTCATTATATCCTTGTTGGGAAATAAAGCATTTCCATGTTTATACTGCTCTTCTTTGAGATGGTTTCAAGTGCATCCATCATAGAATTAAGTTTCATTCAACCCTCTTTCTTAGAGAAAGTCTTTCCTCTGCAATTGATGAATCACCATCATCAACTTGGACTTTCCCACCCAGCCTCCCACTCCCATACTTTTTTCTTTTATTCAGGCAGCTATTATTTTGCTTTCAGTTCATTTTTTATCAAAGTTTTCCAGTCTTTCCAGAAGTGACAGAATGATGTGTAAAGCTCTGCCCCATGGGCTGGGCAAGACTTTGAAGGAGAGGTTCTGTTCAAAGGATATTTAAAATCAACCCTTCCAATCCAATCTTTAAATTCATTCTCAAATGGATAAGGAGTGTTGGATTTAAACCATGATTTGTAAACAATTTGAAAATTCAGATTTCTGGCTTTGCAAAGTCTCAAACATTATTGCAGTTTCCCTTTCATCAATGGACAAAGCTGAAAGGGTCTGCAATGGGGTCTCTAATATTGTCATAACAGCTAGTCAATGAGTATGATCATCTCTAAAAACTCTGCCCATCAGAGTGTTCAGTGGTTCTGTGTCTTGGGTTTTATTCTGCTAGAATTTGTTTAGGCAAGTTCACTTAGGGAGAGAGAAAGAGATTTCTTCTGCTGCTCTTTTGAATTGCTTTGCTGTTTCTTTCTGATGTGATTCTCTACCATTCCTCAAATCCATATCTGTTCATCCTTAGCTTAGCTCTCAGTCTGACTGATCTGCCTGAACAGCATATTTATTGGTAGTCTCTAGTCTGTCTGTCGTTCTTCAGCGCTTTCAGTCCTTCGTTTCATTCCTCCAAAAACAAAATGAAACGAAAAAACAACTACTACAACAGAAATTCTCTGATTTCTTTCTGCTACTTATCTATCTCTGTCTTATCTTGTACTTCACGGTCATTATGAGATGAGTCTGAAGTAGTGCACTTGCTAATAGACATTGGGCATCGTGCAGACTATTTCTTTATAACGGGGAATATATACAATAATGATAGCACACACAGAGAGATTCACACACACACTTAAGCTTTTCCTTCCTGTCAAATGCAGAATTACCGTTTGGTGGAAACTTTTAGAAGGCTTCTAGAAGTTGTTTTGTTTTGCTTTTCTGCCATCCTTTGATAGAATTTTACTGGTTTTGTGGGACTGTCCTAACAGACGATTCCAAAATTCTAGCATGGATGCAGATTCCAAATATGTTCTCCTAAAGAACATCAGTATCTCTACTTGTATTGCCTTTTTGACTATCATGGATAATATGAACGTGGGTAAGAATATCCATTCTTAGATCATCTCCTATGAATTTTGCTGAATAGTCTTTCTGTGTGCTTTTAAAAAAGTATTACTGTACTGTTAATTTTTTACTTGCCTGTCTGTTTATATACAAAGCATATTTTGGTATTGGTATTTGGAATCTGGACCCCCAAATGATTTGAGAATTGCATGTATTTTGTGGAGGGTGAAAAGAAATACTTACATTCATTGCACAACAAAAACCAAATTAAAACAATCCTTTATCTAGGAAACTGTAAAACTGCAAATTCTGCAGCTGATCAGTTTAAATGAATGTCCAGTACATGAAAATTAGATCACATACTTATTTTTCTCTAAAAAAATTTTCTTGCCATGTTAACAGCAGAATCATTTAATTTTCTTCTGCACTTATTATAATCTTGCAGTCATTTTTAAATAATCTGTCGTAAATTGGTCATATTTTATTGTATTGCTATATTATAAAGCAGGCAACACTTATGGAAAGTATTCTTTTTTGTCTGAGACAAGAAACTACAGCTTTTCCATGGCTAAAGAAGAGGTGAATCAATCTTGAACGACTTGAGAAAAATAAAGTTTTTTCTGTTTTTCTGTTGCCTCTACAACCAGATCTTTCACATGTTGATTAGTTGTTACTGTAACACAGAGTTCCCATCAAAATTAGAGGTTCTTTTAAACTTGGCATAATTTAGGGCGTATGGCTTCAGCTTATTTTTTGCAATCCCTGGAAAGTCTGTACCACCCAAACCAGCAAACCACCAAAATTCAGTGACATGGTTTTCCAAAGTTTAAAAAGTATAATAAAAGGCAAATTGGATAGCCATAACATTCCTGTTTTACTTAAATTCCTTCAAATCCCAAAAAGCCAAAAAGAGGATCCCCCCCCCCCAACAACCACACACACACATGGTCCTGAGCCCATTTGGGGATGAAAAGGAAGCTGGAAAGAAAGTTTAGGATTTTGAAATGACATAAATATTTGATCTGGGGCATCCCCAGTAATAGCACTTGTCAGGAAGCTGTTATCATTATGATAACTAACAAGTCTCACTGGAGACCCCCCCTTTCACAACCAAATATCCCCCATGTGTGAAAAAGAAGAGGCAAGTAAAAGGTTAGCTGGAAAGGCCAGGGGGGCAACAAGAGGTCTGAACCCACTGAGTGAAAGGCTGGGGAGATGCCACAAGCACTACTTGTTCTTAATGCAACCTTGCTGTGAGAGACAAACAAGTCTGACCTTTTGGTTTGCTGCTGAACTTCTGATCCTTCCAAGAAATGGAGGCATCCTTTCCCCTGCCTTCCCAAGACCAAGCAAACCTGGATGCACATTCACTTTGTAGCTCACCTTAATGTGTCTGTAACTCAGTAGGGCAGAAGAAACTGTTTCTTACTGGGGGAAAAAAATTAAATAATACACTGGCCTTCTACTGAGCCAGCAATAGCATGCCTTCTATTTGCAGGTTTGCACCCCTATTATTTCCTGAAGATCCTACTATCTGCTGCATGAATAAATGAACATTTAAAGAAATCCGGAAATAGTGCAGTAGTGATTTTGTGCCAGTTGTGATGAAATGTCACAAAGGAGCAGCAGAGTGAGTTGGTTTTATGGCCATCGTATCAGGGACAAAAGAGCTCATCCTAATAGGTGTGATGGCAAACCATATATGTTCCTTGAATTTAGCTCAGTAGTAGACTGGCAGCCAGCACAGTGTCTTCAGAAGAGCTCATTTTTGTGGCAGGAGGTCTCCTGCAGCAACTTAACTGTAGCGCTAGCTGGAGCTTCTGGGCCAACTGAAGGATACTCCTCCTACAGTGCATTGTAATAGTCCAGTTTGTAAGGTACTGAACACATGAATCACTGAGACCAGGTCAGCCCTATCTAAGAGGAACTGTTATTGGCACACCAATCAGAGCTGGAAGAAGGCACTCCTTCCAATTAAGTTTATTCATGCCTCCACTGATGACTATGGTTCTAGAGACACCTCCAGATGATGCACCTGCTTTGGGGGGAAGGGGGAGGTGACGTACAACCTTACTCAGAGGTAACCTCCTAATCACAGGACGAGGAAAGCACCATTTCTGTGGTCTTTGCTGTCTGCGGATCAGCCATTCTTATGGTTCCATTTTGATGCTGCGTCCCAGATCCAGGCACTTGAAAAGTATCCCTCCTTCTCTATTCCTGTCTGGAAAAAAGCCACCTTTGAGTCCAGCTTTCAAGGGCTCAGATAGGCTTCTGAAATCAAGACAGGAGAAGGAGTGCCTGTTTTCCTGTGATCCCTCTTCTCCTCCCTTCTTCAAGGCCTTCAAGAATTTGCACAAGAAGCCATTTCCAATATTTCACTGCAAACCAGAGATTTCATTGTCTGGGGACTGCACATTAAAAAGTGTTCTTGGCTTTGAAGTTTTTGTTTAATGGCTCTAAACTGAAAGAAAATGTTTTCCTATTACTTAATTCAATCATAGCAAAGAGGCTTGGTAAAAAGCCCATGGATTTTGCCCAAAGTGTGACAGAGTTCCCTTTGTGTTTGCTTATCCTCTGCTGTCACACAGTTTAATTCGCCTCCCTTTATCTGGCATTCAAAACTTTCTTCAGTGACATTCAATAAAGTCCAGCGGCTGGAGGGAGCGAGCACAAGGGGGGGGGGACTGGTTATTCCCCCCTTCATATCCTTCCCAATAGCTTTGGGCTTGGTCTGCCTTCAGAGGTGGTTAACTCCTTCCCTCCTGGAGCTAATGGGGGGGGGGGTTCCATCCTGAAAGTACAGCAATACCTTAGGATATCCTTCTAGGAAGATCCATTGTCTAAGAGGAATAGTTCATTCTACTAAAAAAATTAATTCACAGACTATATTCAAAAGCAGTTTTCCCCAAGTCAGTGTCTTGCAGATGTGCTGCTGTATATTACAGCTCTCTTTGCCTTCAACTAGCACAGAAAAGACTTGGAGAAGATGCATATTGTTGTCTACCAATATATCTGGAAGGCAACAGTGGGAGAAAGCTGCCATAGAACAAGAAGACCAAACTTTTTCTCCCTTCCAACCATTCATAAATACTTTAGCCATTGCGGGACCTTTTTGGGGGCTATAGTACCCTTATCCTAAGAATGTTTATGTAGTACTTAGAAGAAATCTGTGCGTGGTCTTATGTGGAACAGAAATATTTTCCTGGCCCAGCTTTATTTGCTTTAACAGAAGCAGGGAAAAGAGAAGTGAACTTCTTGGATCCAGATGTTTTTACTTTAAAAGTTAAGTTCAACATAATTTCTGAAGCTTATTTCCAAACAAGTGTACTTCAGATCTGTATGCAGTTGGTTTCATGTCTGAAAACTGCATTTACACTTCTATGCTGGTCTCTGACCAAAATAAAAGCAAGCAGGCATCTACACTGAAAAAATACCACATAAAATTGCAAATAATGTTTCTTTCTCTCTTGAGGATCCTAAAAAAGAGAGGTACTGGTTAGGAATAAGAGACTACTGTCTGATTTACTCTCTCCTGGGAGGAAGTGTCATTGAACAGTTTGTCTCTGAGTAGACCATGCATCAGACTGCACTGCAATCATATAGAAGACAAACAGCTAAAGTTGTCTGGTTCTGATTTAACAGTTTGTCTCAGGGCATGGAGTGTGCCTATGGACTGATAATATGTATTCAAGCCTTAGTTATATGATTCCTTTCAGTCTAGAGTGCAAAACTCAATCCTACAACTTTCTAACCCACTGTTTGTTGGTACTTCTGTCCCCATTCCTCTTTGACAGCAGTGGGTCCAGTCCAGCAGTGTTAGACCTTAGGTCTCACTGATTTCAGTGGGAAATGCTCACACAGATGCTTAACTTTCCTCTTGAAAGGGGTGGTGTTCAAAATTGCTGAATTATGGTCAGTGACACTTTAAAACACTCAGTTAAAACTGGCACATTGGATAGTTGGTGATTTTAAACAGCAAAGAGGAGAGAAGAAAGAAAAAAAGTATCAGAGAAGGCTATGCATTCAATCACTCTTGGCTTTGGACAGATAAATGCATTTTCTCCATTCCAGTTGTTCCTTCTGTTATATGTGGATTTGATTTAATGTCCAAATATGCTTGAAGCTCTTTCTCCAAAGCATATTTCAGTTATTATTTTTGGGGAATACTAGTATTTAATTATCAATTCTGACTTGCCTGGAAAAAGGAAGGTGATTTTTTTTTTTTTAATGGATTTCCATCCTCCTGCCAGTTAGAGTTTGCTTAGGAACCCAGTTGCTCTAGGATTCTAACAGCCCCTTCAGTTTCTCAAGACTCAAACATCTGGTAAAGGCAATGTTACCTTTCATATCTCTGCACCAGGACATTGCAGGGATTGATCTCTAATAAGTTGAGGTCCCCAGACATGGCTAAATGGCACTCAAATAACATACATGCAATATCCATGTCCGGTTTTTCCTGCTTTCCAGAACAGATCTGCATCTAAATGCTGTGGAATACCTACATGATGGAAGATATCTCCTTGGCCCTTTTTATTGGTGAGATATGCAGAAGAATCAGGTATGATTCTGGGTCTCTAATAGATAGTTTTAGAAAGATCCCTTTATTGGTGTGACTGTTAAGCCCTCCCAAAAGTGGAGAGCTGGAGAGCAGAAGAGACAGGCTAATGCTTACTTCTGGTAGATACTATCAGTGCACTTACACCTCACTGCCTGATTGAGCTAAATTGATCAGCATTGTCAATTAGTGCACAGTGTATAAGTGTGAGAATCATAGCTCTTAGTCATGCTTTTTGTTTCCATGGCTTTAAGGATAGGCACCGGGGAGATACAATATTTGCATTTGTCTCTTAAACATAAAACTGATCACCACACACTCTATTCCCCACCCCTCTTCTCTTCTCTTAACATTTGAATGTCCATCATCTGTAGCAACTGATATCAAAATAAATGGGATGGGGGGAAGGGAGTGTCTTTCTCCCTTTGCTCATTATTTGAATATGTCCGCTGGAGTAGCATCTTTCTGTCCATGATATGCAGAGGAGACATTCATTGCTGTTGAGCTGCCAAGGAAGTTGGAAGATTTTCTTTTAAGCAAACTAAGCAATTTTGGAGACCTGACTCTGGAAATGAATGGAAAGGAGGGTGTGGAGGGGATGGACTGCATTAGTGGCATCCTAACATTGCAATCTTTTCTGAGTCTCTTCAGGAGCAAATCCTGGGAAATTCAAAGAGATTGTTTCCAGGATACTGAGGATTCCCACCAGAGGAGAAGGTGAGCACAGCTCTGTGGCAAAAGTGCCGCAGATTCCAGCAAACTATCATCCCTTTCCTAAAACCGTTTCGCAGGCAAATAATCCAGTGCCTTGGCTTTGAAGTAATGCTGCAACATTGTCCTCCCCAAATGTGACTACTTGGAAGTGAGCCCTCTGAATTGGCTTCCTCTCTTTCAAAAATTGGCATGATAGCCCTTCCAGGGAGGGAGTACTGCTTTCTGTAAAGCATCACCTACTACTTTGGCTTTACCTTTTTAAAACTATTATTGGTGTCCCTGGGTATGACCATACATATTCACATCAATATTAACAGTAACGAGTGGATCTTACTGCTGAGAATGATTGCAAAGATTTTTTCTTAACCCATTAATCTTCAGTCCCAATTAAATAATATTGCTAAAATTGTGCCTTTTATTCTCTTGTACTTTGCTCTTCTCCATTCTCTGTTTTAGACTCTGTGGACTGTGAACACAGGAACTTATCTATTAATTATGTTGTTTACTATTTTAATAGGTATCTATTTTGCAGATGAAAAATGTCATAAAAATCTGGGAACTTTACTACTCAGTAACTTGCATAGACCTAAGGTAGATAGAAATAATAAAATGCACATTTATAAGACAACTCCAAACAAAATACTACACATTAAATATGACAATCGTTTTTCAAAAATTAAAAATCAGAGTACTGGGCTGTGATCAGATCCTATTAACATTTCTACCCCCATTCTATCATTTGGATTTGGGTTATGGCAGCTGGAATTCTACTCCCCACCCCAATGGTAAGGGTAAGATTTTCACTATACTAAAATATCCCATTTAATTTCTGCTTTGATTTTTAAATAGGGGTGCTATCTGTCAAAAACCATGTTCTGCTGCCCTCACACAAATTTTCACTGTAAAATGTAGGTGAGAGCTTTTGTTGATTATTAAATTGGCAAAAGGAAATCAAGGTGGGCTAATAAACATAAATTAGTTCAGGGAAGGTAAAAGTCTATTGTGTTATACTAGGTTTAGTTCAAATTAAGTATGTTTCAATGCAAATGCTATTTGAAAAAAAAGAGGCTGATAGGGAAATCAAGGTGAATATTTTTCCTTTCCAATAACACTGTAATCTTAAGCATGAATATTGAAAATTATCAGGGCTCAACCACAAATAAATCATCCTAGGCTCTCTCCATCTTTTTATAAAAGAACCTTCCACCAAATCTGATATTTTACATGCACTTACTTGGAAATCAATTGACAACAAAAGTGTTTAACATTTGAAATGGATGGAACGTATATTCAAGCAATGGTAGTTGTGTTTTGGGGACATAGGCTTTCATGAAAGCAAATCCCATAGGTTTGCCAAGTGCCTGCAGCATTCCTGGGAACGAAGATGTGTTGATTTAGCTGCAGACCTGTTCGCTTCTGCCTTCCAGTCAGCGCCTGATGAAAATGCTGTTCCTTCCAGAGTCTATAAGTGCTTTTGATGTTGCCAGATATAACTCAGTACTGGGGGGATGGCCTGCAGCAGTCCAACCTTCACCAAAAGTCAGCAGCACTTCCGAACACCTTGAGGCTCTTTGAAATCCAGCACTTCCACCGCAGCGCATGGGAGGAAACCGTCTGACCCGCCAAAGGAGCGAAGCGCAACAGGGGCTGGAGACGAAGGAGCCAATAGATTGGCGGTGGGACGAGGGAGGAGGGAGGGGGGGACTAGGGAAGGCAGCCCAGAAACGTGGGTGGGGTTGACAAGAATGAGGGACATTGTGCAGCGCTTTTGGCGAACAAGGGGCATAATGAGGGAGTGTGCAGCGGCGGTGCCAAGGCACGGCACAAAAAGCCTATTGACGGGGGCCGGCGCAGCCTTCATCACATGGCCCCCAAAGACGCTATTTAAACCGGGCCGCGCGGCCCTTTCAGCACCACTGGCGCTGGTCAGCGCCCTGCGAGGAACCGCGCGGGCAACAGCCGCTGCGCCGACGAACCCAGCGGAAGGCGAGGGCGAGGCTGGACGGGGCCGAGTCATGCCGCGCTCCTTCCTAGTGGACTCGTTGGTGCTGCGCGAAGCC